TCCCTGCTCTGTGAATGTTTACATGTTATGTTCAATTAAACCATGGCAACATGTAATGTTTGTGCATTATTATTTTCAGCAGACTGTGTTTTTCTATTGTTGTGACTTAGATGACGTTCAGAGCACATTTTATGACCAATTCATGCAAAACTCTGTGTTATCCCAAGGGGTTCACATACTTTTTCTTGCAACTGTATAATCAACAAACAAGTGAAATATAAGCCAAGAAACCATACCTTTGAGTAACCAGACCTCTGTACAGGTAGTCCTCAACCTATGACCACAATGGAGCTCAACATTTCTGTTGCTACGCAAGACAGTTTTGCCCCATTTTTTACCTTTCTTGCTACACTTGTTAAGTGAATCACGGCAGTTGTTAAGTTAGCAACATGGTTGTTAAGTGATTCTGACTTCCCCATTGACTTTGCTTGTCAGAAAGATCGCAAAAAGTGATCACATGACTCTGGGACACTTCAACCGTCATAAATATGAGGCAGTTGCCAAGCCACTGAATTTTAATCACGTGATCATGGGGATGCTATAACGGTGTGAAAAGTGGTCATAAGTAACTTTTTTCAGTGCTGTTGTAACTTCAGTCACTAAATGAACTGCTGTAAGTCGAGGACTACTTGTGTGTCTGATATTTGAAAACAGCCACATGTGCATTTTAATATGATTATTTCAAGATGACAATTATTATTTACAATTTACTACTCACAGTTTCCACACAATAGTTTTTATAATGCTCAACTGGTTGGGAAAACAACACTCCAGCTTAGAGAAAGCACTGATTATGTATCATTATTTAAATAAAGAATTTAAAAAAACTAAAACTAAAACTAAACCAATGGAAACTTTGACAGGAGTGGGAAACCCGGGCTCTGGTCCTTTCTTAAGTACAAAAGCCAGCTGGATGGTTTTGAACCAATTCTTATCCCTAGACTGAGAAGTCAAAAAATATCTATCCATCAACTCACAATCCACCATTGTGATAGGTTAGCCCAGCTTTGCTGACTCAGGAATTCTGGGAATTGAAGTCCATGAGTCATAAAAGAGCCAAGGTTGCCTACCCCTGGGTTAGCCCATAACCTTCAAAGGAGACTTTCACTTTGCAGTGCATTGATTCATATAATACATACACGTGCACACTCATGCATGCAAATACTTTAAATGTGTCTGTATATTGTTCACACACACACACACACACACACAATCCCATCCAATTGTCACAAACTGTTGAATGAAACACAAATTATTGAGTGAAACACGATGAATAAATAAATTTAAGAGGATAAATCCTATAATGTCAAATCTAGTCATGGAACTAACAGGAGAAAAAAAATATATGGGAAACACATAAGGGGTAAAATTGAAAGTGCCTTTTCCCTTAGCGATAAAACCCAAATGAAGATGTTGCTGTTAAAAAGATGCGGCATGGATAATTTCTTCTTAGAAATGATAAGCATGCATGCGTTTCCAAAATGTCAAAAAAAAAAAAAACTAAATCCCAAGCAAACACAAAAAAGGAGTGGAGAACAGATGGTGTTTCAATGGCACCCTCATGCAACAAGGGTTTTCTAAAGTACATACCTAGAAAGATTCTCTTGGGAGCTGTTTTGATTTCTTCATCCTTACTATCTGCAGCTATATTAAAATGTTGAAGAGAAAGCAAAGACAAAACAAAATAGTTTGACTCCTCATAATAGCAAGCTGTGAACGTGCTCTAAATTAGCTTAAAGTTAAGACAGCTTCATGGCAGTCATCATGCTAGAAAGCTCTTTTATATTAAAAAAAAGCAATTTAATTCGCTGGATTCTGATATTAGGCATTCATACTGTGCTCCCCAAAATTTAGAAAAACAGAAAAATCATTTAGAAAACATAAAGGACAAGAACCATAGCTTAAGCAAATATTGAATGCATAGATCAGTATCAAGCAATTATATTAGTTATCTATTTTACACCGCTTTACATTTTTTCGCTAAGAGGATTGTGAAAAAAAAAATTAAGCAAAGGTTTAGCTTAAATAAATCAAAACAGCATGTAAGAGCTCATCTCAGACGATAAATGATGCTTTACAATAATTCAAGAGATAAATATGTACAACAAGCTTATCTTAAATGCCAATAATTGAATTACAATATGAATAACAAATAAAATGTTAAGCTATATTTACTTATCCAAAGTGGTACAAAACTACAAAACCAGCAATTATTTTCATTTTTTGTAGCCAACAAGATCTATTGTTTGATAAAAACAGTTAAATTCTGTTCAAAACAATTCTCTCTAAATTTTGCAAAATCTAGGAAATTGATATATGGATATTGAAACAAAGTAAATAAATTGCCTTTGATCGCCACATATGTGTATCTCTTAAACATATACTAAACCCAAACATTCACATTTATAAATTCATGTATAAAAATAAAAAGCATGAATTCAAAATAAAAAGCCAACAATGCATACTATCAAAACAGGTTTTTGGATATTTCAGGCCATTAATTCATAGAACTCGGTATTTAAATCATACAAGAACATGAGAAAAAATTTCTTGCATTAAAATTAGAAAATGACATTTCAGAAAACACTCCAATGTACGCTGCTTACTAAGGTAATAATAAGGAGGATATATTTGAGTGAATTACCCTTCTTATGCAGAACAAGTTTCATATAAGAATAGACCAGAAATATATAAATTAAAGAACTTTGAGCTACAGATTGGGTCATAAAACAGATGACTCAAGAAAAAAATTCAACAGTGAAGGCTCAATATTGACTGAAAAGCAAAGAGGAGACTAGATCTTAAAACAAATCTTTGATTAAAAGTTTATGAAAAGGCTCAATAATTCGCAACAATTTAACAAATATTCCAACCAGCACAAAACAGACTGTTTATAGATCCTCTAAGATTTTCCCATTAAGATTTGTTTCATGTAACACATTATGTCAGTATTAGGCAATGTGAAAATCATTACCGTAATTTCCTCCCAGAATTAGCTGCATGAGTGAAGGAACTTGGTTTTATATATATACACTGAAGCTAACCATCCAATCAGACAAGGACAAATATGGATTTAGGAGAATTAATAAGGTGAATGGACATATGGATGGACAGACAGGAAGGAAATCTAGCAAGTCTGCCTTCTTTGCATTGCCATATCGCACTTTAAGACGTTTGGACTTCCAGAATTCCCTAGCCAGCATGCCACCTGGGAATTCTGCGAGTTGAAGTTCCACACATCTTAATGGCTTCCAAGTTTGAAAAACACTGGTATATCTGAATTGAAGAGGAGGGGAAAATAAGCCTGCGTAGGTCTGTAAATTATATACATATTTCATGGGCTTATGACATCAGCTTTTTCTCTCATTTCTGTTATCAACCAACTTTCTTATCATCACAAAATGAAGAAGGAACATTTACAAAAGCTGAAGTATGAGAAAACTGTAGAATATTTGTTGTACTGCAACAGAAATATATATGCATGTGATAGTCATACCCTATTCCCACATTTTGTATTTGAAGGTCACACATAACTTGATGGAAGCCATTTGAACCTCTAAGAGATAAGAGTGCTGACTAGCTTTTCCCTCAATTCATCTATATGTCACAGTGTTTGTTATCACCACCACATTCATGATAGATGGTAGGACTGATCCATAAAATGATGGAATGTTACGCTTCTGAGCAGAACGAGTACAAAATGATATTTCAAGTGGATATCACATGACATTAGAGCAATGAATGAGACACCAAGAAGCATATGAGTATATAATAACAATCTGGGAAAGAATGATCTTTTGTCTACAATTTTGCAAAAGAGAACAACAGAAGCCATTTCTGTAGTTCACTACTCCAATAAATAGGATCACTGTTTGAGAATTGCTTTGATTAGGATTTAGCATATTCATACACACACAAATAAAAGTAAATGCTTTCAAAATAAATTACATTTCCTTAATTGGAATGCTCTTTGTGTGTTAGATTATCAAAACAGAGTTTTGCCAAAATATAATGGAGCCAAAGAAAAGAGAGGAGAAATAATGTATTACAGAATCAATACACAATGATTTCAACCAACCTGAAAAGGAACGTCGTTTTATATTCAACTCATTGGCCACACGTACTTCAGTGCACAATTTCAGCATCAATAACATTGTGGCTATCATTATAATGCTTTGCAATAGTAAAGGTGACTCAAAATGTCTCCCAAACCTAAAAGAAGAAAAAGAGATATCAAGTGGTTGAACAGCCAAAATCTTAATAGTTGAAATTATAAAGTGCAAGCACTAAAAGGGAAAAAAGACACTTTCATAAAACAAAATTCAGATTGGATATAAATTAATTTTCTGATTATCAAATTCTTCCAAGAACCGGTTACCATCTTAAATCTTGGTAGGGAGCCAGCATATAAATCTATAACTAGAGAATCTTCTGACAAAGTCACATAAGATGCCAAATAAATTGTTCTGGATAATTGTAGAAAAATATAACAAATAATGGAGAACAAAATTAGCAAATCAAGACTAACTTTTTTACATATTGGAGAAAAAAATTATAAAATAGTGGTACTGGAGATTCTTAATTTTAAATACAAACTTTTTGCCAATGAACCTAAATCTATGCCCAGAAAATCAGTTTCTCCCAGTAAAACCACTAGAGGGAGATCCGTTCTCCTAAGCATTTACAGATCATTAATAAAATCATACACATGTAACAGCTTCACAAAACACATTCAAATATCTTAAATTAATACTTAATATTCATATATACTATCATTTTTAATTTAGCCATATATTATTCATTTGCAGTATGGCAAGTGTAACCAACTAGGCTTCCTTCAGCACCAATTCCAATGGCCTTAACTTTGCAGGTGATTAATAAGGCTTGTGTTCAGACAATCCAAAAATGAAATTATAATCAATAATTAAGAAATACTGTTTAAAGAACACTGGGGGCTAATAGCACACAAAGCAATAAAAGACTCACTTGGTATTTAACACTTGTGCTTGCAAGTTTGCTGATAAACATAAAAGATCTTAACTGTCTTTGGGTCATTCAGTTCAGGGCGCCAAAGTGAATTCCAGGAAAGGCAGTGGTGAATTTAGCATCCTGGCTTATTGCCATAGCAAAAAGAGAAAGCTTAGCAAATGCAGCATTTTCACATACACACATGCAAATGTCCTAAAGGCACGCACCTTTTGCACCGCTTCCCATAGGCATAGAGGATACGATAGAGAGAACAGGCAGAGAAAACAAGGATTCTGGACAAAACAGGGAGAAAGAATTTGCTTGCATTTGCAACTCTGAGCTGTTTGTACTATCCAACGTTTGGAATAAAAAAAACCAAAAAGCAAAAGGAGAGTTGCTGGTGTCCTCTGGATGAAAACAAAAGGGAAAGAGAGAGAAAGCAAGAAAAAGGAGAGAAACATGTTCTCTTCTAATATGCTGAGTGGTTGAGAGCACTGGGAAGGGGGGATTTTAATAAATTATCAGGAAGGTGTCACCCAGACACCTGGGCTAATGAGAAAGGGGAAAAGGAGGAGATCTTTAGTATCAGAATCTATGATGAGCAGGATATTTTTCATGATTACTCTAATAAAAGCCTTCACTGAAATTTCTGGGTTTCACAACAGCAACAAAGCATAACTAACTTCACCAGTGGAATTGTTCCAATGGTTCAAGATTTACTGTTTAGGGTTATGTTTATGTATAAACATTTATATAGCCTATTCTTCCTTTTAGGAAAGTTTGAAGCCACCAGATCATACCTTGTCCCTCACAGCGTCTCTTGCTTTTGGACATCTGTAATTTCATATGTATTAATCCAGGGGTAGTCAACCTTGGCTCTTTTATGACTCGTGGACTTCAACTCCCAGAATTCCTGAGCCAGCTAAGCTGGCTCAGGAATTCTGGGAATTGAAGTCCACGAGTCATAAAAGAGCCAAGGTTGACTACCCCTGGATTAATCAGTCAATTGGAAACATGGAGAGAATTCAGCAGGAGTGCTTACAGACGTTTTACTAAGTACATTGGGACTATCTTCTCTGAATTTTAAGGGAATCTCCAAGTGCCCATGATGGAATGGAATCTTTCCTTTCAACTGCAGACTATACGAACCACCTTTATCCAACATATGTGAGAGCTTCCTGACAATTCCCTTTGTTCTTGAGACATGGATATTATGCAATATTGCATAATATCCCACAGTCAAAAGCTTTCCCAACTCCTTCTATGTTTGGGCTAAGTATTACCCCCAAGGGGTGAAATCCAACAGATAAAAGATAGCTGTAGCCAAGAAATTGTGCATTCACTAAGTTGTGTCTGACTCTTTGCAACTCCATGGACCATAGCAAGCCATGTCCCCGTCTTTCAGTGTTTTCCGGAGTTTGCCTAAATTCATGTTCATTGCGTCAATGACACTATCTAACCATCCCATCTTCTGCTGTCCCCTTCTCCTTTTGCCTTCAATTTTTCCCCAACATCAAGGACTTTTCCATTGAGCTCTTCTCTTCTCATTTGGTGGCCAAAGTATTTGATCCAAGAAATATTTCTCACCAAAAAGAATTCAAAACTATTTTTATATGGGCTAAACTATGATTGATTATTATCATTAACTTCTAATACTTTTTAATTCTTGAGGATTTCTTTTGTAAGATGAGAAAGAGGAGACTATAAGAGTAGATTGAGTACTGTATATTAATGGTGTTCTTTGTGTCAAACTATGGAAGCAAAAGTTTGTCTTGAAAGAAGGATAGAAAGATGACACTTTTAAAGTTTGGTTTTGGAAGACTCCTGAAAATACCATGAACAGCCAATAGAAATGGATCATCAAACAAATCAACCCAGTTTTCTCACTCAAGGTGCAAATGACCAGGCTCAAATTATCATATTTCGGACACATTATGTAAAGCCTTAGCCCTCTGAACAAGGCTCTTATGCTGGGAAAGGTAAGACAAAAGAGAAGAAGAGGATGACCACCAGCAAACTGGATGGACTCATTTACACTGGTGATAGAATATAATAGAAAACAGAGTTGGAAGGGACCTTGGAAGTCTTCTACCGTAGTCCAATCCCCTGCTCAGGCAGGAAACTCTATATGGTTTCAGACAAATGGTCCAATCTCTTCTCACAAACTTCCTGTGTTAAGAGTATTCACAACTTCTAGAGGCAAGTTGTTCCTCTAATTAATTGTTCTGTCACGAAATTTCTCCTTAGTTCTAGGTTGCTTCTCTCCTTGCTTAGTTTCCATGTTAGCTGCAGCATTGAAACAACTGAAGGACCAGGTTAGGGGTAGTTCATCAGAGAAGATGAATGTGGTTGCTAAAAGTTGACATTGACTTGACAGCACATAATCTATCAATTAATGAGTATATAAAGTACTGCAACAAAGGAAGAAAGATTATCCTACTACACATTAGTATGAAATTATTAATGAAGAAAAACATAGGGTAAACGGTTATATCATAGAAGATGCAAGGATATGCATAATACAATTTGATGCTGGTTTGGATAATAGCTTTTCCTCTGGGAATGACCAAAATACATTTCCAAAGAATGTGAATATTTGCTTGCTCATGTAACCATCAAAATGACTTGCCAGGCATATTTAATGCAAATATGCTTCTGTTATATATCTCATTATCTTGCTAAAATTCAGTCAACCATATAGAGACACTGAAAAACAGCTTTTCTAATAGAAGAGAATATCTGTAGCTCAGAATTAAACTGTGGCATCTTTGGTATTGTCTGAGCTTGGTTGCTTGCTTGCAGTCCTTTTATTGCCTAACTAGTTAACATCGTAAGTGGCTAAGTGCATTGATGATGTTAGCTAATCAAGTAATGAAGTATATGAAACCAAACAACCAAATTCAGAGAACACCCAGGACTCCATATTAACTTTGTTTGCTTGGAGGTATTATTCTTACAGTAGACCTTTTTAATATAATTTTCTTCAGGGCGTAGTCAAACATCAAGCCAAACTGAGAGTGCAATTAAGGGAGAGGAAAGCAATACACCATACAATTCTCCTCCCCTAAATACCAGAGCTAACTTTAAGACATTCTGCATCCATTAAAAAATAATGTTAATTTGGTCCACATTTAAAGATGAACGCATGAATTTATAGTATTCCTCAATCTATAAAATAAGTACTATAAAGCCAACCTAAAAGAACAGAACCCACGGGATGTTTTTCACCTAATTAAGGCTATCAGAGAAATAACCAAGAACAAATCACATTCCATCTTCTGAATATTGCATGACCTACTCCAGAAAGATTTTTGCCTTATGAGGCTTGAAAACATAAAGTTGAGTGCTGTAAAATAAACCGTAAAATATCGTTTGCATCCCATTTTACATTGGTCTTTCTCAACTTAGTACTTTCCAATTGTGCTTGGCACTCTAAGCAATTACTAAAATTACAGTAGGATTGTTGTTCAAAATATTTGCAGAGCACCAACTTTAAAAGAATATTTTACATTGTCATCAAATAGTTTTTCCTGCTATGCCATAAGTATATGAATGGGCGTACGCAGAAGGATTACGTAATTATTCTCACATCCTGTGGCTTGGTACCAATGTAATTTAATTCAAAAGCCACAGAAAAAACTATGCAGGTCACTTCTACTGCAACAAAACATAAAAACTGATTTTAAAAAAAACTATTACTGTACTATTTTCTTCTCTAAACTCCAACTTTCTGTAATTTTATATCATAGAATTATATGACCGGAAGAGACCTTGGAGGTCTTCTCATCCAACCTCCTGCCCAAGGCAGGAGTCTTTATAGCATCCCATCTCTGGGAGGCAAACTATTCCATTGATTAATGATTCTCACTGTCAGGAAATTCCTCCTTTTCTCCAGGATGGATCTCTTTCTGACGAGCTTCCACCTATTGCTTCTTGTCCTATCCTGAGGTGCTATGGAAAATAAACTGACCCACTTTTCCCTGTGACAGCCCTTCAACTATTGGAAGACTTCCCTAAGCCTTCTCTTTATTGGGCTAAACCAGGGGTAGGCAACCTTGGCTGTTTTATGACTCGTGGACTTCAATTCCCAGAATTCCTGAGCCAGAGCAAAGGTTGCCTACCCCTGGGCTAAACATACCCAGTTCCCTCCAGACCCCTAATCATTTTTGTGTGATTTATGTGTATGGTGGGGTGTGTGTGTGTGTGTGTGTGTGTGAAGTGGGTCGGTGTGTATATATACACAT